CCCCCCCCCCCCGCCATGTGCTCCACGATCTAGACCTCAGAAATTTGGATACTAGCACCTTTCAGCTTCCTGGTGCTATTCCCTCAGTAACTTCCTCCCTTCGTTGTTTGTTTTGACTTTCTGGAATTCCTGTAACTAAGATCTTAGAATTCCTCCTGGGGCTATGACTATCCTTATCTTTTCTATTGTTAACTCCTTTCATTTCTGCTCCACTTTTGGGAGATTTCCTCAACTTACAACCCTTTCACTGACTTTTTTCTTTAATCTGAATCACATATTTGATTTGTAAGTGCTCCCTGCTACATTCTGGATGTCCCTTCTGTGGCACTGGGCTTCACAAGGGCCTGTTGCATGTGTTCCCTTCTCTGTTCCTCTGAGGTTACCAAGTTAAGTTCTTGTCATGTTTTCTGCAAGCGCCTGCATCATCCTTCCCCTCCTGTCATCAGTTTTGGTCTCCTTCTTTCACTCAACTGTCCTGACCCTTGGCTGTCTTGTCCAAGAGGGTGGTCCTTGGGGGGAGCTGGGGGCCTTGTTTGTTGGTTTTCTTTTTTAATTTTTTAAAATTTAATTTTACTGCTGGTGGGGGAGGTAATTTGGGCTTTTACTTACTTTAATGGAGGTACTGGGGATTGAACCCAGGACCTCCTGCGTGCCAGGCATGTACTCTGCCACTTGAACTGTCCCCTCCCTGTAGCTGGGAGCCTTGTGTGCAGAGTAGGCCGTTCCAGGGTGAGCTCTTCTTTGGGGCAATCAGGGTGGGACAGAGCCATCTGAGGGTCCCAAAGAGCAACATCTGGCCAACCATTTCCTGCTTAGCTAGGTGGCAGCCATGGGGAAGAACTGAGTCTTGTGTCCTTTGGACCCATCACCTCCTGCCTTCCATAGCAGTGAGAAGGGACAAGTTGCCTGGCAATATGGGCTGGTAGGGGATCTGGGGTCCAGCTGTCCTTACACAGGGTTTGGCCCCTCCCTGCGGCCCAGCCTGGGCCTCTGGGTTTGCACAGAGCCAGGACAGCTAACCTATGATGATCATCCTCATTCTGTGACCCAACGGGTAGACCTTACATGATGCAGTTAACCAAGGTTCATTTAGCGATCCTGAATGCTGTCAGTGATAAAATACTCCTTCTCAAAATGTCTCCTGTCAGCCCCTGGCATCAGCATGCTCTGGATAGCAGGCCTTTCGCACACCTTGTATCCCATGTGGAAATCAGCTACACCCTACGTTTCAGGGGGACGTTCCTAACATTTGAGTGCAGCGTGTACTTCAGACCCTGGTGGAACTCTGTGCTCCTGCACTTAAAGCAAAGCAGACGTCAGCATGGCCACTACACTCGAGTTACTTCAATTCCATTATTCTTTACAGCTACTTGTAGTTTTTCACTTGAATTTACAATTTTCCACAGGCAAGATGTCTCAGAGGCACTAGGATCGGCTTCAACCAAAGACACCGACAGAATCACAGTCTCTTGGATGTACTGGGAAGTGGAGGTTCTTCCTAACTTTGTGCACCTGTGGTTTTGAGTGAAAAAAATTACCAACAGTTTATTAAGGTTAATAGAAAGTATTCTTTGGTCAACTACAAGTGACAATAGATGGACAAATATGGCTGAACTCTCTACTGAACGAGACAAGAAAAAGATCAATTGTGGCAAAAATCATTGTCAGATTTGTAGATATTAAGGCTCAAAGCCAGAAACTGGTCAATAGTTGTATTCATTACTGTGGAAAAGGGTATGTTGGTAAGTATTCCCCTTGTTTTTGAAAAAGTACACAAACGTAACGTAAGTTTTGCTTCGCCACCTTCCCCCTTCCTGCACTGTTTATTGGGTGTATTTACTTTGTCTTCTCCTGATTACGTACACGAAGTTCAGCACAAGAACGTGCTTTTCTCTCCAGGCCACTGTCCTTGTCACTGAGTACACCTGGTCCACGGAGAAGGGGGTTTAGAAAATCCATCTGGCACCCTCTGGTCATCAGTGAGGACTGGAAAGGCCAGGTAGGTGGCAGGAGAGGGCGGTTGTGGTCCAGGAGGGCCAGGGGCTGGACCGGCCAGTGGAGGAGGCCGCCAACTTCTCAAGCGCACTGGCAGCGACTTCCTTTAGGTGCAGAAGGCAGAACCACCTAGACTGAGCCAGGCACAGGGCCTTTGCAAACGGCGGGGTGGGGGTGGGGTGCAGCTGGAGAGGGTGGGGCTGCCAGGGATGGGCCAGGGGTCTGGGGAAGCAAGGAAGGATGGTTGGCAGGTGGCAGAACGAGGATCACAGGTTCCAGTTGGGCTGAAGGATGCTGGGTCCTGGACAGGTGGGAGCCCCACTGAGGAAGGTGGCAGTAGTGTGGCGGGGACTACCTACCTGCTGCGAGGTGAGTGCAGGGAGATCCTCGGAGGACTACCCCGGGCCTCCCGGACACGGGCCCTGGATTTCGGCCGAGTGATTCACTTGCTGGGTCCGAGTGTGAGGAGGGCCATCTTATGGTCTGCGGGTTCGAAGTGAGGCGGTGGAGCGAGGTGCCCACGGGGAGCCGGTGCGCGGTGTCTGGGCGGGCGGTCCGGCAGGGAGTCAGGGGGCCAGGGCTGCAGTTCCGGGTGCGGCCGGCAGAGGGCGCGCGCGGACCCGCCGCTGCTGCCCTCCAGGGACCCACATCGGGAGGAGGACACAAGTGCACAGGCCACCACGGGGCGTGGGGGAGGGGCCCACTTAACTCAGGGCTAACAGGAGAGAGACCGTCTCTATCCCGAGGCCCTAAGATCTGCCGAGGATCCAGGCTGTGCCCAGCGCCTGGGGAGGGAGGGAGCTGGTCCGGGTGAGAAACTGGGGCAAAGACCCTGGGGCCAGGTCAGCCCCGCGATCAGAGGCCCGGGATGGCCAGGGCAGCTTAGGCACCTGCAGTGCTGCCTGCGATGCTGTCCTTCAGGCCTTGGGCTCCGCGTGTGGGGTGGCATCAGTTTTCTGAGATTGGCGGAAGGGAGGTGGGTGTTGAGTGGGGAATCTTGGCAGAGCTTGTCCTTTCACCAAGATGTGAGATGACCTTTACCCTCTTCTTGGTACTTTTCTGTGTTTTCCAGAGCTTCTGAAATGTCCTTCTGTAGCTGAAAACCAAATGTTTTTGAATCAGTGGTTTTAAAACCTGTGGGATGAGGTACAGGGACCACACCCCACTCCCTGCCCCCTACACTTTTTTATTACTTTCTTCTGCGTGCTTCCCAAGTCTGCAAGAACACAAGTGAACGGGAAGACCATCCTTTTCCACCTTTGCTTGCAGAGAATGCCGCGGTGTGCACATGTTGGCCGCCACCAGACTCTCTTCCCCAGTGCAGTCTACGGTCTGTGTGAGGGCCTGGGCAAGGGTGGGCTCACATTGCTGGGGGGCAGGGGCCCTGGTCCCGGAGTGCTGGCTGCTGCCTCCACCCGTGTCTTTCTCCTTTTCTTGGGGATTGCCCTGAGGGAGGGACGGCGCTGGCTGTGCACTTCCAGGAGGGGAGCGGGGGAGCCCCACGGGGCTGGTGTGGGTGCAGGGGAATTCTGGGCAGGGCTTGAGGCCAGCCTTTCTGGAAATGGGTCCATCAGGTGACTACAGTGAGAATGAAACTGGGTTCTTTCAGAAGCTGTGGCCCAGGCTTGACCTTCAAATGTCTAAAAAACGAGAAAAGAAGCAGGGACGAATTCTTAGGATGGGAAGCAGATTGTCCTGGGAGGCTGGCTCTGCCCAGTGCCGGCCTCTGCTCTGGGGACAGCACTGACCATAACAGGGCATCCCATGGCCGGGGTCCACGTCAGCCTTTCCGCCTCCTGGCCCTGTGTGCTCTTCTCCCAAAGGCCTGAGTGAGTAAAGGACACAAGGTGAGGGTGTCCAGGGGACTGGCCACGCTGTGGGGAGTGGAGGTGCCACTAGCATTCAGAAGTGTCTTGGACTGAGCCAATGACCTGAGGAAGGAAAGCCAAGGGGGCGGGGAAGGCCGCCTGGGGCCTGGGAGAGGGGCCCTGGGGCAACACCCGCCCCGGGTGTCTGCAGACCTACGGGCAGCTGATGGGGCCTCTCTCTCGGCTGGACGAGCCCATGGGCAGCCGGCGTCCACCGCAGCACACACCGGGACCAGCAGCCAGGCCCACGCCTCTCTCCGGGGGGGCACCAAGGTGCAGGACAGAGGCACCAGGCCTGAAATGTCATGCCCTCTGCCCCTGACACCCCAGCCCTCAGGGAGCAGGAGGAGGGCGCCCGTCTCTCCAGGTCTGCCCGGGGCTGTCCCCGCCACCTCCTCAGCCCCTCCCCACACGGCTGCCTCAGCAGGCTGAGTTTTGCTTTCTTTTTGGCAGGAAGGAACCTGAGTGGGAATCCCCTGAATCACAGACGACCAGAATGAGTCATCCCTTTCCAGCCTGCCAGGACCGAGGTGTCACACCCCCCCCCCCCCGCACTGGCGGGCGGGGTGGGTTGGCCACTTCTCAATCAGCAGCCCCTCCCTGCCGAGCCTCCCTGTCCCGTTCTCAACTCTGCAGGCCTGTTGTCAGAATCTCTCTCTCACACACTCACACACAAAATGCATGCGTGAAAATCCTCTGTAAGTGGCAGTCTGGAACTCGTGGGAGCATTTTAATGCTGGACGCACGGGCAGGTGTTTGGGGAATGGCTTAGCCTGTCAGTGCTAAGGGCTGCAGGCAGCTGCCTTCCCAGGAAGCAAGGTCTTCGTCCAGGAAATCTCTTCTGGATGCAGAGTGGGGCTGAGGTGGCCCTGAGCCCAGCACTCCCGCACGGTCCCTGATGCTGGAAGGGTGAGTGAGTTCTGACCCTCCCCAGGGAGTCACTGCAAAAGGCAGGCGAAGCCTTCTTGCTTTTGCCCTGAAGAAGGAGGGGTGCAGTGCTGCAGGTGACCCTCTCTGCAGCAAGAACCATTTCCTTCTGGGATGCCGGTGGGTTCACAGGATGGCCTTGGCCTCCCAGGCCCTGGGAGGAGAAACTCCTTACACCTGAGAGCTCGCTTAGCCGTGGGGCTGGAGGGAAACCACGTGGAACCTGTAGGTGGGGACGGAGGCCAGGCAGGGGGTTTTCCACAGCTGCTCATGGCAAACTCAATCCCTCAGTTCATGGAACCTGTGTTGGACGCAGGGTAGCCTCGCTGCTGTATCCCAGGGCCGGGGGAGTTTGGGACGGGGGAATTCCGACTCCAAACCAAGGAATGATCTTGCAGTGTGCTGTGAGCTCTGCTGGCCAAAGTACAGATGGTTTAAACGTGTGACTTCAAAGCCTGCCTGGTATGGGTTCCTCGGTCCCTGAAACGTTCGCGTGGCTTCAGATGATCCCCCTGAGGTCCGGTGCCCAGTGTGCTATGTGACCTGGGCAAGGAATCTTGCCTCTCTGAGCCTGTTTCCTTTTCTGCAAAATGAGGAGAGCCGTCCACATTGCTGGGTGCTGGCATGAGAGGAGACGCTGTCCTCAGGTATTCAGAAAGCCCATGTTCACCGGTAGAGTGTCCATTTTGTCCAGACTCTCTTTTAGCAGATAAGGAAGCGGCCCCTTCTCTGATCACATGCTTAGCAGCAGTGGTGGGGTCAACACTCTGCCCTCCTGGTGCTGTCCCCGCTTTTCTGGCCAAGACCACCGCCTCGTTTCTAGATGTTTCCGTGTGTTTCCAAGTGCCATACGTTGCGCATTTTTAGTTTCGTTTGGTGGTAAAATTCTCACGATATGAAAGTCACCATTTAAACCATTTTAAAGCGTGTAATTCAGTGTCATTTGTACGTTCGCAACGTCAGGCAACCATCACCACTCTCCAGTTCCAGAACGTTTCACTACCTGGAAGGAGACCGCACACGCCTTCATACCCTTTAGGTGAGCAGCGTCTCTGTGCTTTTTCTCATGAATGTAACGCACATGGGGGCCCAACTCCGCGCCGGGCGCCGCGCAAAGTGCCCTTGGTCTGGGGCTGACCCTCCCGCGGAAGCGAGGAGAAGTCAGGGTCTTGCTGCAAGAAGCCTGGAAACCCGGGAACTCTACAGGCGGGAAGCTACCCCACTCCCGGCGCGCTTTGCTCGGAAACAACCGGAGGGGTGACTTAAGTGCCCACGCCGCGGTAGCCCTGACCAATCGGCGCTCGCTGCGGCTTCTGCGCGCTTCTGGTAGGCTCTTGTGTCAGTCCGTTAGAAGTGCGGGCTCGAGATGGGAGGGGCAGGGGAGAAATCTGACCAGTCGGCGCCCGCTATGGCTTTCTGCGCGCACTTGGTAGGCTTTTGTGTCAGTCCGTCAGGAGGGCGGGCCCGAGGCAGGGCGGGGGAGAATCTGGCCAACCGGCGCCCGCTGCGGCTCCCTGCGCGCTCCTGGTAGGTCCGCGCGTCAGTCCGTCAGGCGAGTTCAGGGGC